CAGTCAGTGGCACTGCCCTAAAGACACTACAGTCAGTGGCACTGCCCTAAAGACACTACAGTCAGTGGCACTGCCCTAAAGACACTACAGTCAGTGGCACTGCCCCGGGGGCACACAAAGTTAGCAACCAGGGAAAAAAAGAAGTAAATCATGGAGCAGAATGCGAAGAAGAAAAAGGAAATTAGAAGAAACACCTTGTGCGAATAGACCACCGCTAGAACTACTTTATGTAAGCGTTTTACAGCATTTGCAATACAATTACCAATACGATTACCCAACACACCATCCAGCACAACGTGCCTACCTCCAAAAATTCGATGGTGATAAGGCTACAGGGCGACCGAAAAAGACCTGGATAGACGGAGTCAGGGAAACATTAACCACCCACGGCATCCCCCGGACCCAAGCTCTCCGGCTGGCGACAGAGAGACGTCTCTTTCTTCCCGCGACACCCAGAAGGGTATAAGCGGCGGATAAAAGTAAAAATAAAGTAAAGCAATAAAATTGTGAGGCAGCTTGGTGGAATCAGGCTGTCGTCAATTTTTGAGCATGTAGAGTTATTGGTATCATCTTAAAGCTTATTCACTTGTCTTTATTTGGATGAATAAAATATCCATTTATCTTGAATACAGGTCAAGATATTTGCGAAAGAAGGAGATGGGGGGTCACCTGTTTCCAGAGGTAAAATTAGTGAGAAAAAGGCTGCCAAAGATTAGTTATTTCCTTAGCTTAAGAGTCTGTGGTAACTGAAAATTTACATTTTTGTGCCTTTAGTTAATGATTTTCAGAAAAATCCACACAGAAATGAGTTCTTTAATAGGCAAGAAAGGAGTTGAGCCAAAAAACAAAAATTTGATAAAAATTCACAAACCTGCGGAAAAATGCAAGTTTCTTCACTTTTATTATTTTGATGAGAGCCTGATTCCACCACGCTGCCTAACAATTAGGTCATATAAGTGCCAGAACTAGAATTACACAATGAGAGCAATAATATAGAGAAAATGTCAGTCCTTGATTTATATTCGGCAATACATAACATTCCTTGGGTAACAGGGAAAGATCAGGGAAATGTAGCTTTTTAAGAGCATCCCAGTAAAGGAATGAATGGGTAACCAAGATCGCCGATATCTGCCGCAGATCTGGCACTGGATGATGATGATGATGATGATGATGATGATGATGACGATGATGATGAATTCATAATACATAAAATTCTTTAACTTTAAGATACAATACTGAAACTCACCGTTTCTTGTAATGAGAAACTGTTTGTCTTTGGGAAGATATGGTTTGATTTTGCTCTCATCCCCCACAGCCCACTGCCATGTTGGACAGTGGTGGACCAGATGATCCCCGGCGGCTACAAACTGGAAAATTACAAGGTAGAAGTTTCTTGTTATAGGTGTTTATTCAAATTCCAGCGAGCACAACGGATTACTTATTTTTTCCAGCCATCATAAATTAAAGTTGAAGCTATTCACCCATCAGCAAACGTCCGCATTTCCCCACTACAATCTATGCTATCATCAATTCATAATTATCATTATTCATCATACTACAGACAAGAAAACAAACAATATCTTTCTATTTAAGAAATATAAAGTACACTTGACAATTCAATTCGAACGTACACAAAAGTTATTTCAAAGATTACACAAGCACTGCTCAGCGCGCACAGTAGCTGGAATATTTAAGAACAAAACATCGCACCACCTCTACAACTGACAACACCTTTTCTACAGCCTCAGTGATGAATTTAGAAGTAACATGATTTATATACAAATAAAGATTACAGTTTAAGAAACTGGGAGCAGCATCAAGACAGTTAACCCAGTATGTTTCACAAAGTTGCCATTTGCCAGCATTGTGTTTCTAATAAATTTTAGGCAAGCTTGAGTGCAACATTAATTCTAAACGTTCGATGCTTTAATCAAACCAATCAAGATCATTTCTTAAAAATTGGGCTGCTTAAACTTAAACCCTGTCATGGCCAAGCCCTTCTGTTTAGAGTAGCCCACATATACTACATCCCAGCAGAAAAACTGAGACGTTTAATAACATATCTACCCGTAGGTGGAATCAAACTCACCTCTTTTGAGCGCAAGGCAAAAAGCACTTTAATTATCACACTACAGATGCTGATTCCATCCTTCCATCCTTACTATAGTTCTTGTCATAGTAAAATATTCCATCACAATAAATGTGTAATTATTATCCAAGACAACCACTCATTGTAATGTTGAGGAGAAAAACGGTCGTCTTAGACTGGAGGATACCCTGGAGAGTCTCAGGATAATTTAATATTATAATTATTGAAAAAAATGTACAGCGGAAAGTGGGAAGTGGCCATTTGTGTTCGTAATTGCCCTGAAAAGGCGGCCATTAGAGCAGGTTCGACTTTATTTCATTTTTAGTGGATCATTATACAAATTTATATCAAGGTCAGAGATGAGGTAGAAAGAAGGCAGTGGTGATGGACTGAACATACTCTCTGGAGGAACGGCAGCTGCATAACAAAAGAAAGAGTTGGATTGGAACTCACAGGGTAAAAGATCAAGGAGAAGACAACGTGGAACCTGGAGAAGACTCACAGAAATTGATACAGAAAAGTGGGAAGACATTTTTAATAACATCAAGAGGCTAGCCCAGGAAAGAGAAAGGCAGAGAAAGTGTTTTCCGTAGCCTATACCCTGATGCAGAATGAGAAAGGCAATGATGATGATGATGATGATTATACAAATTTCATGAGAAATAGTCAGTAACTTACTTCTTCCGGTGTTATAACACCTGTTTCCTTGAACTTGGACTCCTGGGGACGAATGTTATATCATGAGGAATTAAAAAAACATGGAAGTATTCCGTAAATAAAAGGCACACAATCATGATAAAATAATTTTTTTCAGTCACTATTCAAGCAGGGAGAGTTATCAGTATCATGCAAATTGGAAAATGGGAACTCACATGATATGTGTCGCGACGCAATGGAATCCATTTCTGGACAAATATAAAGTTATTAATTATTTATCATAGTTTGTTCATTTGTCTTGCATTTGGCGAAAGAAATATCCATCTATCTTTCAAGAGATTTGCGACTGAAAAAGAATGGGATCTCCTGGTGAGAGAGACAATATTAGCAAGAAAATGGCCAAAGTTTGGTGACTTCCAAAGCTTGAGTGTCGTCGAAAGGCCACCTCTATTCTCACCCCAGGTGAAAATAACTCTCATGACTCGCTATTCTCACCCCCCCCCCCCCCCCCCCCCCCCCGGTAGGAATAGCCTCCACCCCGGTGTGGGCATGAGGCGAGGACTCCCCCCTGACCTCTCGCAGGCCGATAAAATCACCTAGGCCTTTGATGGCTTACCGTATGTGGTTGGGAACGAATAATAATATGTAAAAACTTTTTTCGCCTCTCCAGTAAAAAAAAAGGCTCACTACCGGCGCTACTGAGCCGGATGTGGGACCAGCTGCCAGCCGGACCATTCGTAGTTTACACACTTTTATTAACGGCGGTAGGCCTCTCACTCATTTCTTGTAAAACGAGGGGGTGAGAAGAGCGCGACATGGGTTATTCTCACCCTGGTTGAGAATAACCACTTCCTCGTTGAAAACTGAAATTTTATATTTTTGGTGCCTTTAATCAATGTTTTTCGGAAACATTCACACAGATATGTTTTTAAAAGCACATTTTATTGAGGTGTTGAGCCAAAAAAAGAAAATTTGAAAAAAAATGCTCAAGGGACAGAAAAATCCAAGTTTCTTGGATTTCAGTGGTTTGACGAGCACCTGACTTCACAAGGCTGCCTCCATTTCATTATGAAGTAGGTATAGACTCTGAGAGAACTGCCGGACAAGTAAGTAGCCTACAAATGATGACAATAGGCTAGGGTCTAAAAAACGTTAAAACTTCCACTTTTAGACGACGCATGATTTGACACAGATCTATATATAATATAGATTCATGTCTTAGACTTTCAAAATGCTCATAATAGTATAAACAATTTCATTTTTGGATATCTCTACCGACGCTCCGCTATCTATCTCTCCCAATGCTTCGCATTTCGGTCATTTCAAAAGAACATAGAAAGTTCTAGAAGGGCACACAGGCACAAGAAGATTGATGCACACACATTTTAGTGCAAAGATGCAGAACTGCATGAAACAAAATGTCGTTAGCCACGCAGGACGACGGACTGATCCAGGACCAGCAAGGGAACGCCACACGGGAATGTGCTTATAGGCGAACATTTATCCAGGACAAGAATCTTAATAAGGGTTAAACTTTTATATAGATTTAGAGGCAGGTATTTCAAGAGAGTAACAAAAATTTAACAAAACTGGAAGGAAGAAGGAGAGGTGAAAATGATACATAGACATAGGGCATGGCATAGAGGCCTCGAATTTAAACTCATGGTGTGGTGTGCTTGCAGCCTGTAAACCAAACAAACTTTCAAAGAGTTCAAGAGTCACCAGAGAGGACCAAGTCGACCAGAATAGCCACAAATGATAACATAATTTATAGGTTACAACAACAAATCAAAGTGACAAAAACAAAGAATGCTCTAAACTAAATTGCAATTGCTGTCCAAAACCAAGCCAAATCATCACCTTCAACACTGGGGTGAGGTACTCAGCAACTCCCAGAGCAGTACCTTTCACTGAGTTAATTAGACTTTGCATGTCGGAAATCGAGAGTTATAAATGTTGCTACAATCTCATCAAAATTGAAGCAAACATAAACTAGGGTACAGAACAGACAGAGACGTAGCCACAACTTAGCCACCCCAGCTGAAATCACAAGATTGTGACGAGTGACGAAATTCAACCCGGAAGTATTTGTTTGTGAAGCAGAAAAACAGAGTGACATCCCTTCCAGTGGGCTATTTGATGGGGTGGGAGGGGGTGTGTCCTCGGGGGATCAAAAAGTTTCCGAGAGAGGCCCTCAATAACTCTAATCTATTAGAATTTCTGTACGAGGTAAATATTTTTCCAATAGACAAGAGAATATTACAAACGACCCCTCCCAGTCCTACAAGATTATTTATTGCTGTGACAGGGCGTATAAACAGGGATGTACGACGGTACTCAGTCCAAAAGAGCAAGCATTAAAAAGTCATTAAAATTGAGCATTATATAGCACAATTAATTTATAAACTAATAGTACACAGGTATTATTTTTTGGCTATTAAAAAGGTATTACGTTACATATTTTGTAAACTTAAAATATGATAAAAATCATGCCTATAAAATCAATGTTGTACAATTGTACTTCTATTATTTTTTTCTAACTGCCAGCATACCAACTTTTGGTTTGTCCTTTCTTATACTGAAGGTAGAGAACGATACCGCGCGCTGTGGCATGAAATTTTCACCTGAACAAAGAAAACAGAAATATATTACTTTGTGCGTTCAATATCAGAAAGACGGGAGCAAGAAACAAAAATGACTGACATCATAATTCTACCCACATGTTGTCATTTCCGTATCAAGTTTTTGTGCTTATTTTTTATTTTTTTTTTTTTTCATTTTTTGTGGGGTTAGGCCTACGTGTAGGCCTTATATATTCTTAAAGGGTGTAGAGGGTCAGGGAGGGATGTACCTCTGAATGGGGAAGGTCTGCCATGTCCTTTTCAGGACAGCCCTCTTTACATTGGTTCCCACCTGGTGCTCACCTCTCACCTGTGGCTCCACGAAGCTGCAGCATGCGCAGCGGCCACACCCTGGTAACCGCTTTGGCAGGCGGGCTGAACCAGGTAGAGGGTAGCTGGTCGGGTGTCGAACCCACTAGTGAGATAATTAGGGTCTGTCTCCCTGTGCATGCAAAGACTGGCTCCGGCGGACTGCGCGGACGAAACCACTCAGTGGTTCAACGGGTAGAAAGGCGGTCCCAGCAGAGAATCGCGGAGCGCGACAAGGGCACAGTGAGACAAGAAGACACTGCTGGCCATCCGCTCATGCATCCCGGCCCATCTCCGGCAATCTCGATTTCGACGTGCCACCGGATCTAGATGGACAGGGACAAGAGCTTAGGGTGAGGCTGGCGACTTTGCGCAACTCTCCCTCACTTAAATCAAATTTAAGCGCAAGTCATGACTTCTTCATCCCCACCCCCATCATCATCCTCATTACTTCCTGCAGCGATGGACGAGTGGCCAAGCAACAGGTGTGGACACACTGGCAGTCATAGTCACAACTCTACACGAAGGCGGTCCAGGCCTTGTGGTCGCTTTTCAGTGAATGAGACAGCGCTGGAACTCGGCAGACACCTGGGCGACGAAGCAGCCCTCTTCAGGATAGCACTGCTCCCCCCCCCCCCCCCCCCCCCCCACAGCCTGGGGACGGGACTAGAAAAGGTGTCCTAAAAATTGCCTGTCTCACCCTTCCCTGGCCAGCATGCCGCGGCTGGCAGGGGTCCCACACAAGCAGTAAGGAGAACTTTTTTAAAATCTAAGATGACCGTGGCGCATGAAATGGGCGCACCCTCCTTGACCGTTCAGGGAGTAACCTTCCCGAAAGACGGACGGCCTTCATTGCCAGCGAACTGGGCCGATATAAAATACAGATACCGCCCTCAGTGAGACTCGCCTCGCTGAGGAAGGACAACTCACAGAGAAGTCTGCCGGCTACACGTTCTTCTGGATGAGCGTCGTGAGGCAGGAGTTGGTTTTGCTATAAAGTCCAACCTAGTCAACAAGCTGGCAGCTCCCCCTAAGGGAATCAACGATCGCCTGATGACTGCCCGCCTCCCGCTCCCCCAAGAAGAGATTTTCGCCACACTGATAAGCGCTTACGCACCCACTATGACCAACCCCGAAGACATAAAAGAAACATTCAACGGGGACCTAAAAAGACCACCACAGCCGTACCCAGGGCAGACAAACTCATCATCCTTGATGACCTCAATTCTCTAGTCGGCAGAGACCACAAGTCGTGGGAAGGAGTGTTCGGGAAACACGGTGTTGGCAACTGCAACAGAAACAGACTTCTGTTGGAAACCTGCGCTGTCCACAAAACTCCTCATCACCAACACGGTCTTCTGCCTGCCCAATCGTTACAAGACGTCATGGGTGCTCCCACGCTCCAAGCACTGGCATCTACTCGACTACTTCATCATCAGGCAAAGAGACAGACAGGGTGTGGGAGTCACAAAGACCATGTGTGGTGCAGAATTTGGGACGGACCATCGTCTCCTCATCTCTAAGATGAGCCTCAGAATCACACCACCCAGGAGTCCCCAAGTAATCAAAGTGGCCAAGCGATTGAACGTCTCCAAGCTCAAGAGTGGTCTTGTCAAACATGCGCTGGTAGAAGAGCTAGAGAGAAAACTACAACCAATCGACATAGACCAGCATACCGATGTGGAGACAGTGGGCACGCCTTCGAGACGCCAGCCGTCTATGATGTTGCCTTAGACATCATTGGCCCCACTTCCCGCAAGCACAAAGACTGGTTCGACGACAACAGTTGTCACATCCAGACAATATTAGAGGAGAAACACCGACTCCACAGAGCACTCCTCAATGACCCCTCCTCCACCTCAAAGAAAGAGAATTTTAATACGGCCAGGAGGAGAGTCCAGTTCGAACTACGACGACTGCAAGACAAATGGCTCAGTGAGAAGGCCGATGCCATCTAGGCCAACTCAGACAGGAAGGGCATGAAAAACTTCTTCAGCGCTCTCAAGGCCGTCTACGGACCCACCTCGTCAGGCCAGTCCCTCTCCTCAGCGCAGACGGTGGCACGCTGATAACAGACAAGGAGAAAATCCCCGAGCGCTGGGAACAACACTTCAACAGTGCCCTCAACAGATCATGATCCATCAACAATGAAGCCATTGAAAGACTACCACAATTGCCAATAGACAACACTCTGGCAGACCCACCAACAGAAAAAGAAGTAATGCTCGCCATCAAACGCCTGTCCAGTGGCAAGGCACCAAGTGCCGACTCCATTCCAGCTGAAATCTATGCTTCTGGAGGCCCGACACTAATAGAGAGACTGGCAAGCCTTTTTACCTCCATGTGGTCACAAGAAAAGCTGCAACAGGAACTCAAAGACGCTTCGATTGGCCACCTTTACAAGCGCAAAGGAAACAGGAACACCTGAGACAACCACCGAGGCATCGCCCTGCTCTCCATAGCTGGGAAGATGCTGGCTCGCATCCTGCTCAATCGTCTCGTTGCACATGGAACTCCACCTGCTCCCCGAGAGTCAGTGTGGATTCCGCGTGGGACGCAGTACTGTGGACATAATCTTCACTGCTCGTCAACTACAAGAGTAATGCCAAGAGCAGAATCTTGGACTCTACTCCACCTTTGAAGACCTGACGAAAGCATTTGACACTGTCTGCCGCGAAGGGCTGTGGAAGATCATGGCAAACTTCGGGCACCCCGCAAAGTTCATCGTGATGGTCCAACAGTTCCATGATAGCATGACAGTGAGAGTGCAGGACGATGGCGTGCACTCCCAGCCCTTCCCCGTCACTAATGGAGTGAAGCAGGGCTGCGTGCTGGCCCCCACTCTGTTCAGCATGATGTTCTCAGCTGTGCTGACCGACGGCTACCATGATGGAGACATCGGTGTCAGTTTTCGTTACCACGCTGTTGGAAAACTCTTCAACCTTTGGAAGCTGCATGCAACGAAGACCAAAGTCCATGCAGGCATAGCCCACGATTTCCTCTTTGCGGACAACAGCACGCTGAATGCCAGTACTCAGTCAGACATGCAGGGCAGTCTGGATCGTTTTTTCAAAACCTGCGACAATTTCGGCCTTATTATCTCCACAAAGAAGACAGAAGCACTGTACCAGCCAGCCCCATCGGCTCCCTACATAGAGCCCCAATTCACCATCTACGGCCATAGACTGGCTGTGGCAGATAGGTTTGTCTACTTTGGTAGCACCCTCTCTTGCTCGTCAATATCGATGAGGAAGTGGCTTACAGAACTGCAAGAGCTAGTTCAGCCTTTGGCAGACTGAAAGACAAGGTCTGGGAGCGAAGAGGTCTGAGCCTTAACACCAAGCTCAAAGTGTATAAAGCAGTAGTTCTTCCATCCCTGCTCTACGCCTGCGAAACGTGGACAGTCTACAGTCTGCATGCCAAGCAGCTCAATGCCTTCCACATGAGAAGCCTCAGGACCCTGCTTCGCATCACTAAGTGGCAAGACAGAGTCCCTGACCCTGAGGTACTACAGCGGGCCAAGATGGAGAGCATACATGTATACGCTATCCTATTGCACTCTCAGCTCCGATGGACCGGCCACGTTCATCGTATGGACGACTCTCACCTCCCAAAGAAGTTACTCTGTGGTGACCTGACCCTAGGCAAACGTTCTCCCGGCGGACAGAAAAAACGCTTCAAAGATGCCCTGAAAGCATCCCTGAAGAGTTGTGACATTCCCCATACCACCTGGGAAGAAGCTGCTCGTGATCCATAGTTTGGCTCTCCTTAGTAAGATCGGGAGTCGCCAAGTTCGAAGAAAGACCCATCAGAAAGAAAGAATAGAGACGGCAGCTGAAAAAAAGACCGAGAGAGCCCTACCTTCCTGCCTAGTTCAGCCCCAAACACCCCCTGCCCCCACTGCAACAGACATTTCCGAACGAAGATCGGCCTGATCAGCCATCTCCGCACACACCCCACCCCTCCAATGATGTGAAGTCACGGTCATCTTCGCCAGCGAAGGACGAACATCATTATATATTCTTAACGAAGGGTTTCCTCGTCGCATATTATAACAGCCTACGCTTGCACTTTCATTCATCATGATTATGACCTAGGCCTACCTTGCTTTAACGTGTGCATAGATCTACCTATTAGTATAAATAATACTAATACCTCTTGAGGCTTATTTTGAGGTTACAAATACTGAGCCACCCTCAAATATGATTGGACATTTAAACAATCTAAATTCTAAAATGCATTCCTTAAACCTTTTAAAAAATAGGTTTTAGTTGACTGCCTTCTAGACACATGCTGTTTTTGTTTTGTTTTTTCTTTGTTTTTGTTTTTTTTCTTTAGCTTTTATTTTTCCGTCTAATTCCTATGATACTCCACATTTTGTAATAACTTCCGGTTTTCTCATTCTCAATGGCCGCTTGCAGGTTCGCAGTCTCCACAAGCGCATCAAAGTGAAAATAGGATAGCATCATATAAAGCGATGCTCTAGGATTGATTCTCTTGCATGTTGTTTATGCTTCGAGGATAATGTCGTCGGGGAAGCTTGCTGAAGCGCTTACCAGTGAAGAAAGGAGGCAGCTTGCAGAATTCAACAGGTCTGACTGGTGCCCGGTGCCGGTGCAAATTCACTCTGTCTAATATTATTATAATTCTGTTTCAGACCCACCACAGTCAGTCAGTGTAGGGTCTAGAGTCTAGAATCTAGTACTGACTCAGGCTGACAGTAGATTCTAGGCCTACACTGCAGTATATCTAGATCTAATCAGTAAATCTCCGAATGCATGTGTAACAAAGGCAAGCTCTGCTAGCATGCTCATTGCAGGCTTTTGTCGACATTGTCGATTGGCAGTGGCTATAGGCTATTCTCATCCGGGGTGAGAATAGAAAAACGATTTACCTCTCACCCCGGGTGAGACTTGCCAGCGTAGGCTATTCTCACCCGGTGCAAAACAAGACCTGCTTTTCCTCATTTTGGAATACTGTCTATCGGTGTGGAAAGTGGCTATTCTCACCCGCCCGGAAGTTCTCGCAAGATCAACTCCTCCCCTCTTCTCTCTCTCTCTGTCTCTTTCTGAATACTGTCTATCGGTGTGGACGATCAAATTGACCGAAACAAAGTTAAAAAATGATGTTAAAACACAAAAGTAAATTAATTTGGTTGTCTACAAAGATGCTACGGCTATTTAACTTTTCGAATCGAGCCGAACTACGCTGGTCGCCATTTTGTTTTGCCCGGAAATTCTCGCGCTACTCCTCTCTCTCTTTCTCTCTCTCTCTCCACTGCCCACAGACAAAATTGTACGCTTTTAGTAGGCTACAGTTGTAATGGAACGTTTGTTCACGGCCACCTCTATTCTCACCCGGAGTGAGAATAGTGCAGGCGAGTCTTGTGGCTATTCTCACCCGGTGCGCGTTCACCAAATTTTGCGTTCACCCTAAACCACAGAATTCTACCCTGTGATAACAGAAAAATTGTAGAATTCTGTGCCGTGAACAAACGTTCCATTACAATTTACCCCCGTTCTTTTTATCCACTGTGCGGCCACGAATGATTGCCCCTCAGTACTGATGACTTTGTGAACTAAGTTTAGAAAGCGACATTGGTTGTTGTTTATTTTGTATCTCCCCCATTTCCATTCAGAAAGCAAAATTTCTCAGGAAAGAGAAAACTACTTTCATTCTTTTAACAATTGCTTCTCACTTTTACCTGTTTTATTTCTTGCTTTTTTTTTCTTCAAAATTTTGAATTTGAATTCAGACAAAATATTTTCTTAGTAAGCCTGCACAACTGATGTCAGATTAAGAACTACAATAAAAATTTTTAAAATTCAAAATTTCGAGTTTTAAATAGTCTGTATTTTCAGCCTACAGACAATATAATAATTTTTATTTGTTTGTAGCTTATATTATTATGCTATAAAAGTTGTGGGGTTTTTTTAATTTTGGGAAGATGATCAAATTTCAGTTGTTAGATATAAAACTTACTTCATTTTTCTTTTTTCAGCTGTCTCTATGGCTACATCAAGTTTGAAAATAGTGATAAATGCCCTAAGAAATTGCTTATTCAAAAGGTAAGAAAATGAAGCCTAAAAGGTACAGTATGTTATTTATCATTTATGTGGTCTAATTTCACTATCAGTTAATTTAATTATCATACGATTACCGTTCATTTGTAGCTTTGAAAAGCAGGCTTTTTTCATGCATGGAATTACTACTGTTGATGTTTGGAGTTAAATATTCTGTGGTAAAAAATACACCGCAAGCAATTAGAATTCTCTTTTCAAGATTTTTGCCTGGCTCTTTAGAATTGAGCAAAAGATTGTTTATTGTAGCAGGGTTTGAGTTCACCCCCCAAAAAAGTGTTTTTCTTTGTTTTCTTTGTTTTTTTGTTTTTTTGTAAGTGTTTTACTGCTCTCGCACTTCGTAAGGTCATATGAGCGCTCAGAACACATTAAACATTTTCAGTTAGTGCGAACATTTTGAATTTTGCTCGGGTGGCGGCCGAAGCCTACTCTTATGGATTTTAGACCACCAAGGGATGTTTAGCAACTTGCACACGGGCCCTCCGATGAAAGATGTGAATGAAAAATAAAACTGAAACATTATATTACAATCCTTGATCACATAATGGATGAACAGGATGTGTCTCCCGTTCTTATTGCTTTGACAAAATTGTTTTGTCTATGAAGATTTTGAAGAAAAAGCAACAGAATTCTCATAGGTTTTATCGTGGTTGGGGTACCATAAAAATTGTTAGGACTGTAACTTCCTGAAATGGAAAAGGCTGCATTAATTAACTGAATGAATTGTTAGTTTGTTTCGGTTTTTAGTTGTTGTGTCACCATGGGTTGTGAGGAAGGAATAAAAGTAAAAGAGGACAAAGGGAAAAAAAAAAATTAAAAAAAAAAATATATATAAAAATGCTTTGATCTATAATTGCAGCTTTGTAATTTTTTTGATGTTTTGTATTTAACTTGATCTTCTGTCTCCCGCAGGGCATTTCCTATTATGACACCGTCATTAAAGACAAAATGAAGGCCGCCGGTGCAGGCGCACAGGGGGCAGTAGATGCACAAAAGAAGGCAGAGCTGCAGAAGAAAGTGACTGTTGACCCCAACATATATTGCCATCTTGGGCATTTGCATTTACTTCTTGAAGACTTCCCGAAAGGTAAGGACTGTCCGTGCGCATGATATTGCCCTGTTTTTGTAGTTAATCTGGCTGTGACTCTTAGGGTCTTCTCAGCCTAGTGACCTAGCGGTATGGCTACCTGTGGGTAGTTGGCGGGTGCTCTGGTGTGGTTTTTTTCCTTCTTTCCTATTAAAAATTATCGTCCTTCTCTCTCCTACTCTTTTTTTGTGTTCGTTACTCTCTTGTAACACCTCTAATTTTCGGCACTTTTATATGACCTTATTATGTTGCAAGTGCAGTAAAACTTTAACTAAAACTAGACTATCATACTGGGCGTTAGATGGCAGATAAATAAAGGGACAGTCGTATAAACTTCAGGGTAGGTGGGTTTTGGCATGTGGTTATTTTGAATGAGTATAATGAAATCTTTTGAGGTCTCATCTGCAGGGTGTTTCTGAAACCTTAACTACACTGTAGCTATTGAAAGTTGAAGGTCTGTCCAGGTTGCTCGGCAAAATTCTTAATTCATCCCCTTCTGTACTATGAAGACATACCTGTAGGAATGACAACATTTTTGACAGTGGCGTTTGATGGACATAAGGATGAGGGATACTTTGCTGTATTGATAGGAAAATAGCTGATTCGTGATTATTTGATGATGTGTGTGCAGAAGTACCTTCTGTAGACTGTCCCTGGACTCTGTCTTTGAGTTGTTAATTGTGGAATTATCAACAGCTTATATAATAATATACATATTAAACTTCTTTGAGTTGTTAATTGTGGAATTATCAACAGCTTATATAATAATATACATTTTATACTTCTTTTTGCAGTAACAATTTGTGTTAAGGAATTTGATCTCTTTGGATGTTGTTTCACATTATTTTGAAATACAGTGGAGTCTGCTTTGACTCTTTATCTACGGGGGTGGGTGGGGGGGGGGGGATCCTCTTTGCAGGACCTTATTTTGGTATAAAATCTAAAATTGACATACATCACTGAATTGGTCGTTAAATCAAACCAAGTGAACGTATTTCGATAGTTTCTCATCAAATGAATGAAATTCTGGTAAAACAGACCTGTTTTCAACAATTGCCGAAAAATAATTTGAAGTCTTAAGTCGTCGTAAATGAATGCGCCCAAGCAGCTGGGAGCGGTTTGCTGGAGATAAGCAGCTAAACAGAAATCGGCGCGGCCGGCGGGCGGATTTTCTTCGGTTTAGCCCTGTTTTTGGTTTAGAGAAAATTGCTCAAGATTTGTCAAAGGTTTCCTGATGGAATAGTTCTACTCCCACAGTTGTGTAACATTAGTGTTTGTGCCTTTGATTGGAAGCCGTGAGCTGACCTGAAAATTTCTGAGATATTCTGTTGTTACTGTCCACAGCTCTGTCTGCCTACCAGAAGTTTCACAATGTCCAGACAGAATATTGGAAGGTAAGATATTTTTGAAAAAACATTTTTCCCTGATGTGTGTATGGAGTGAAGCTCAAGTTTTTTTGTTTAACAAAATGAAAAATGAGACGTGTTTTTGAAAAACTAAATCATGACCGTTGTTTGAAAGACTTGCTCCTCATGGTCACCTTTGATTTGATGCTGGAACAAGGGTCTTGTCCTCTTGTATGTGTGCAGTAGCACATATAATATTGGTGTAGATTAAATCACAGTATCACTGAATACGTTCGTTATTATTCCATATGTCTAGATGTTTTTCCCTCATTTTTGTCTTTTGAATGGAGCCACCTTATTTTTCAAGACTCTTTTATTTACAGTCGGCCATGGATAACTCAAAACACGTTGGGGTTATTGACAGATATGTTTGAAACATCCATGATTCAGGTTTAGCGATAACAAAAAATGAAAGAGATGTCATTCTGGGGAATGGCAAATTGTATGATGAGCTATCTGTGATTTTAAGTTTTCCATGTTCGCGTTATTTGTCATCATCATTGCCTTTCTCCCCCTGGGTCAGGATATAGGCCACGAACAAACACTCTCCACCTTTCCCTATCCTTGGCTAGTCGCTTGATGTCACTCCACGTCTTCCCACTTTTCTGTACATCCATTTCCGTGACTCTTCTCCAGGTTCCACGAGGTCTTCCCCTTGATCTTTTACCCTGTTTTGTGTTATCTATGCCTGCCTGTATTTCTTTGTATTCTCCTTCAGTCAATCATCTCTTTTAGTCAAAGAGGAGTTCTTTGTTTTGGTATTGACATCTGTCTATATATAGTTATGGTTTTTGTGTGTGTCTTTGTAAATTTCTGATTTAGTCTCTTATAGTGAACCATGTCTAATTTCATTGTTATAGGACAAGACAAAACACTTAATATAATCAAATCAGAATGAATAACATAGCAACTAAAGATTGGAGTTTGGGTATAATTTTATTTACAGTTTTTAAAGGCGACATATATTTTAATTTTACTAATTTTGGGCAACTACGATTGGTTGTCTATTTTCCCACCAAATTTGGATGGGGAAAAAAATAGGTTTGCAGCATGTTTGAGACAATTTAGACTTTTGTAATTGTTACAGAGTAATTTTGTTGTTTTTATTCCTCAATGAGTGAGGAAAGATGAGTTATTATGTGGGAAAGAAGGGTTCCCCATTTCGTTTCATGGGAGAATATTATGAAGCCTGAACATTTGTTTTAAAATTTCAAACTCCGAAGATGGCTATGATTAAAAGAGTTAGATTGGTGTGATGGTTTTGTTAGTGACAGCAGTGCAGATGAACTATTCTAGTGACTTTAATGAAAATATGTACTTTCTCATCTCACAAATTAATCACAGATTCTTAAACAAATACCCAAAACAATGGCATAAATGCATTCTACTTTTTAATGCCTTTAAAATAAAACTTTATATTTTGTGGATAGAAAATGTCACTCCTCAAGACCTAGGCCCTTTCGAAAATAATTATTAAAGAACAATGTGAAAATCACGATAGGAAAGAGTTCAAACACAAAGAATTTATTTTAAAGAGTGGCACGTTCATGGTAGATAACTCGCATAGGCGAAGAGGGTGTGGGATTTTCAGGGTTGTTTCCCCTGAGCAATTTCTCATCTGGATGCTCTGTTCGCGGTAACCCTTGGACTTGTAGTTCATTATTTAGTTGTTCTAGTCAGTGGTTGGCGGGTGCCCTGGTGTGGTCTGCCCCTTCTTCCCTATCAAACATAATCTAGCTTCATTATTTCCCTCCCCCCCCCTGCCATTTTTTGCATTTGTTACTCACCTTCTTGAAAAACCTCTAATCTTCAGTACTTACGTGACCTAATTATTAATTGTGTTGCACCTTGACTCTCACTAAAAAGTATTTAAAATAAACCTTGTTTCATAGTTTCATATATATATATATATATATACGTTTATTCAGAAAGGGTAGGATTTTTTATTTTTTTTGTTCAATGAATGTTGCAAGCAACATGTTCTTCACTGTTTTTTTAAATTGTTTTTTAAAATAAATATTCAACAATGTATGTGTATGGTATAATGATAGAAGATTGTATGATATGTCGTGTGCTTGAACTGTATGTTACCTTATCTTTGTTTTTGTGTTTGTTTTTAATGACTGTCACTTTTGAGTACACCTCCTGTTCTTCACTCTTCTTTTATAATTCAGCTCATATATGTGCGTGGTAGGGTATTTTTTTGTTTTTGTAAAGTGTTTTACGGCGCTCGCAACTGCATAAGGTCATATGAGCGCGCGGGACTCACCTAATATTTTCAGTTGGTAGGAAATTTTGAATTTTGACCACCAAGGGATCTTTAACTTGCACACATGGCCTTCCGAGATTTTTCGCCTTTGTCCGAGAAGGCTAGATGTAGATCTTTCCTACCAGAAGATCAGGGGTGTGGCTGAAAGACAGCAGTAAGAAGTAGTGAAGGAGTAACAGTAGAAAGGCTGCAGAAAGATTCAGGAGCCCAGAGGAAGGGGCAAAGGAGGTGAGGGGGTGGGGGCAGAAAGAGGAGG